GGAAGAGTTGAGTGGAGTTCACATTCGCACAACTCTTTGAAGCCGATGCCCACCCCATCCCATACCCCCATCCCTACCCCTATCACTGCCTGAGGGCTGTATTGAACGCATTTGTTGTGCAAAAAAAACTAAGAGAAACCCATTGAAGATAATTATTATCTCTGGTAAGAGAAGACATGTCTCTCCAAAGGCTATATGCGTTCACATCACACATGGATTGCCATAAGCGTCAAAACAGGCCATAATTTCTCTGCAAATATTAATTCTCGACTGAAATATATTGTTTTATTGTCGATAAATTATTGAATGCCCATGGTTCATTATATTTATGTGCAAAGGCATCATTTTAAGGCAGCAATTAAATACATCCCCTTATATAACAGTAACAATGGACTAGCATTGTACTCTTATCTCTAAAATATAACTTTACATGACTAAATTTAAAATTACTTTTAATTATTAAAAACATAAATATTACTATTTAAAATTAAAATAAATATACAAGTACTACAATTATAATATTTTAAACTAAATAACATTAAAAATAAATCCAATTATACTAATTTTTGTAATAACTTTTTTGCCCTAAATCATAGTTGAAAGTTTTTGTCTTAATTGTGATCCCATCATTAAATCCAATCTATTGATATGTCACATGACATATATATCCGTCAAATATATAATTAAATGTCTGTAATATAAATGGTCACAACTCCCGGACCTGATGTCGTAGACACTTGTCGATTATATCAACAGAAATTTCAAATCAAGCCTCATAATATCTATACTAAACAATATAAATTAAATATAATATTTTATATTATAAATTTTATTTCAAAGATAATAGTACGATGCTAGTCCATTGTCACTTTTATTTAAGGGGATGTATTTAATTGCTGCCTTAAAATGATGCCTTTGTTTATGTGACTGTAATTAACATTCAAACTATTAATTGTATTTAATTGCGGATATAAACTGAAACATCTTAAAGGTTTTGCTGAATTTCGCTTACAATTTGTCAACAATTTTCCAATTCATTTATCACAAGACCTAAACATTAATATAAACCCGAAATAAATCATTAAATAATCATTTAATAAAATGGTAATCAAAGTTAAAATTATGTTTTACAGCGTTTTATTAAATCCTTTTCCTATTATTCAAATCCAAATTTATTTCCGAAATACGAAATTATATATATTTTTATTATATAATAGAGATTATGATTTGAAATTTAAATTTAAAACTATTTCTAAAAACATCTCTCAATTGAAAGCTTCTTAAATCGTTTCATAACAACAAAAAAGTTTCCTTTTTTAATGTTTTTGTGTCAACTCCTGAACTAAAACTTGAAATACAGTGTTATTACTGTACTCTTCATTAGAAATCATTAAATGGCTAAATATATTATGCCTTGTTTTACACCCAATTCGACATTACATTCAAATCGTGCAATAAATACACTTAATAATGAATTTAAATTTAATCAGAGCTCAAAACACAGTATTATTATATAATGTGTTGTTTTGATAGAAATTGAGTTCCAGTTCCAGAGTTTTTCCCCCAAAAAGAAATATTTCATAAACACATTAAACGCCAAAATTAGGATCAAATAGCCATGAGATCAGGCGGTGGTCAGAGATGTGCCAAATATTTAGGCCAAACATTCTCTCTCTCTCTCTCTCTTCAACTCAACTATTCTTTCTTTTAATAACAACTTTCAAAGTGAAGCAAAAGCCACGAAATATCCCAATAATTCGTTCTCAAAGTATATATATTCTCTCTCTCTCTCTCTCTCTCTAATTAACATTATGGCTATTTTTGAGGTTATTTTTCCAGGTTTTGAACATTTAATTCTCGGAATTCATGAGAATTTAAAGCGAATAAACAGAAAAATAAAGTGAAAATCAGAATCTGTAAGAAACTTATTAAACTAAATAAAACAATACTAACGAACACTACATAACGAAAAGACAAACAAAAATAATTATATGATTAGCTCTAAATTGCGAGAATTATGGTCTCGATTGCAAACAATTACCTCAAAAAGTAATGTTAACTTCATTTGAATGTTAGCCCAAAGGCATGAATGTTAGCAACAAAACGATATGTCCGTCCCTATGATAGGACCCATACTTTCATACATTATACTACACTACTGTACTTTCTCAATACCTGTAGTGTATTAACACCGGTGTTAAGCATATTGGACTTAAAATACCTTTGTTTTCTCGACGGGATCTCAACATATTTCTCAACAATTGATTTAAATCACATTTTTGTCACAAAATGTAAAATTATAAATCAAATATCAATGAATGATTGATAAGTTATTTAACTCTAACTGAAAGTTATAAATTATTGTACAGATTATACAAGAGATATCATTATAAAATATGTAAACAATTTTTTATTATCTCATTATGTAATTAAAATAAATTCTTATCGATAAAAATGAAATCGATTTAAATTTAGAAATATAAAAAAATTAATAACTTTTATTACAGGTCTTCTTCAAAATGATATATAAATATAAAGCATTTGCACTAAAGATATGTTTGAAAAATTAATATATAAATTGTTTTTTAATTCAAAATAATTCAATTATGTATTTAAAAATACAATTTTTATTGGAAATCAAGTTAATGATTGAATTATAACATCTTTCGGACACAATCTTTTACTTCAAACAATTTTCTTCGTTATAAATGTATTTCTTTTTCATAAATAATGATTCACTTTATGTAAGCAACGAAAGCCTCAGGCATTCAAGGTTTACATACAAGTGAAGTATTTTTAGGGGTTTTTCATATTAACTAAAGGAAAAACTATTCAAACGATGAGTTGGGATGAGTTGTGTCTTAAGTTTTATTATTATTATTTCTTATTGAATATATTATATAATAAAAGACTTCCTTACGGTTCGGATGAATATACAGTACAAGTGCTTAACATTTGCACCGATTCTTATACATAGGTATCTCATTTAAATAAAATTTATATTAACTAAATTTTTTAATTAAGTAATGATTTGCGATAAAAATTAACTCAATTGTATTAACAGATAAGAGTTAATAAAAAGTTAAGAACATTTCAGATGAAATAATAATCAATAACTTCAAAACTAAAAAGTCAGTGAAAAGTTGTTAAAACTCCAAAATAAAGTATTGATACTAAAAATGTGCTTATTTTAAGCGCAAACTTATAGATCTATGACACTTGTGGTTAACATTAAAATGTTAACAACATTTTTAAAAACTTAATATTCTTTAAAAGTATTGATAAGAATAATAAAATTCAAAATCGAGACAAACCTTTGGCAACCATTCCGTCCGGTGTTTAATAAAATATTGGCTTCACTTTCTAATGTCTGTTCAAAAGCATTGGATTTTATATATACTTTGAGAACGAATTATTGGGATATTTCGTGGCTTTTGCTTCACTTTGAAAGTTGTTATTAAAAGAAAGAATAGTTGAGTTGAAGAGTGAGAGACACACAGACTCTCCAAAAGCCTCTCTTCTCATACAAGACTCCAATTGCAGACTCTTTGAGACGCTTTTGTTCCCCAAAAACCTGTAATCGAGTGCTTCGAGAGGTTTATGACCAGAAGAGCAGGTCTTATGCGGCATCTTTCGGTCTCACTTCATATATACACCAATTACTGTACAATCAGTGAAATAAACTTTTTCCATACAATTTCATTTATTAATATATTTATTTTTTATTATAAATTATTTCATTTAAGCATGATCATTGATCATCATGTCATTTATCTATTAATTGAAATCAAATTCAATCAAATTTTCATTAATATATCGTATGCTTAACTGAATTACAATTCATAACACATAGAAAAAACATTGAAACAGTCATTCATTCATTCGCTTCTTTGTTATATAATATACTGTATTTTAATGTCATTTAAAATTATACTAATTATTAGCAAAAATTGATTTCTCATTTCGTTTTTAAATAGACTTTTCTTATAATAATAATAAATACAAGAATCTGAATATTATCTCTAAAACTGTTTTCAGTAATGAAATATTGGGATTAAATTTGGATCTGAATTATTGTATTGAACGATAAGTTGATATAATGTCTACAATAAAAGACAATATTGTATTGTTTTGTTGAGAGAATACATTATTTTCATATAATTTCTATTGAGAGCTGTTTTAACAATAATTATTTATTTTGTTTTAATTAACACTTAAATACAACTTAATTTCATTACAAGAAAACATCTTATATTTGGAGAGAAACTTAAAAATAGTATTTTATGTCTTATTTAACATTATTTCCTCTTTTACTCGTTATTATAACTCTGTATTAAAGTTTAAAATAATCTTTTATTTTGTCACAAATGGCAGCAAATATTTTATTGTCTGTTATTGACTATTATTTTCATTTCGTTATAGTTTTATAGAATTCATTAAAAATAAAAATACATTAAAAATTAAAAACAAATGAAATGAAAAATAATTTCATAAAATATTTAAAAAAATGATTTCATTTTTTGCTTTTGAAACCTTAATAGAGATTTAAAATGAATGAAATGAAATGAGCGGCGAAATTGATGTTGTATTTTGTCTTTTGATGATTGGTTTTATGGCATAAATACTGTGTCTTTCATTACATTCGGAATTTTTTACTTATAATTAAAAATAAAACAAATTAAACGAACAAATGGTTTATATAAACAATGAGTTGGTTTTGAGGTTTAGACAGATTTTTTAGTGAGAAGCCAACAATTCATCGAATTATTTCATTTGAATCACGCCTTCCCGTCAGTCAACCGATCGCAATGGACTCGCGTTTCCAATCAACCAATTGTTGCAATTAATTTCAATTAAAATCTACTCTTTGTTTAGTTCGTGAGCACCAAAACTCCCCCAATATATTACTTTTTATCAAAATTTTCAGTTTTCATAATTTTTCACTAATTGTTTGATCAAAACGTCAGAACAGTTTTGCGATTTAAACAAATGTTTTCTTCGTTTAGAAACATAAATATAAAATAAACTAATCATCACATCATCCGATACGGGCCTTTCATCTTCAGGTATTGTATGACAAGAGATGGTCCGCCGTTCACGATATCGGTTGGAATTTGAGATAACGGACAGTTCTCTATACTCATTATCTGTAGGTTTGCACAGAGGGCTAACTCGAACGGAAGGCTATGCAGGTTCTGGTTGTCGTTTATGTACAACGACTCCAGACTCTCCAAAGTGCCTGAAAATGATTAATTCAGTAATCAGTTTAGTCCGCAATCCATCACTTCATTCAAAATAAATACCGATTTCTTCTGGAATTGATGTCAAATTGTTTTCACCGACACTTAAATACGTGAGTTTAGCTAAATGTCCGATCGCTCGCGGAAGGGCTGACAATTGGTTGCTTTGGACGATCAGCTTCTGGAGCTCTCGTAACGATCCTGAATAACAAAATCAATTGACAGCAAAATTAAATAACAAATGAGTTGTGGATAGAGAAGTGGCGCTGAAGACAGACCTATTTCGTTGGGAAGGGCTTCTAATTTGTTTTCTTCTAAGTCAAGAATCCTTAGTTTGCGAAGATTGCCGACAGTCGGTGGCAGTCGTCGCAAATTGTTATTACTTAAGATGAGGACTTCGAGGTTCTCTAAGTGCTGAATGTCTTCAGGAATTTTAGTCAACTGATTAGTTCCCAGATTGAGTTCAACCATGTTGGTCCACGTGCCGATGTCCAGCGGCAGTGACGTCAACTGATTGTCTTTCATATTAAGTTTGGTCAGATTGCGGGCCCGCGAGAAGATGCCAAACGGCACTTTGTTGATCTTGTTGTGCTCCATGTTTATTGACTAGACGTTCAATCAAATGTATCATTCATTAAGCAAACAATCAATTAATTTCATCACGTGTTGTGGCTATTGCTTACATAAACATTGCAGAACTGTGAGGGCCCGCCCACTGGATATGATGTGAACTGATTTCGTGAGAGTGTAAGTGTTGTCAAATTTGAGAGACTAGATAACAGGCCTTCTGGCAGTTGGGACAGTGAGTTGTTCTCCACATTGAATTCAGTCAAATTGATGCAATTGCTTAATGACTTCGGGATTGACATCAATCGGTTGTATCTATGATTCACATCAAATCATATATTTGCCAATTTATTAACAATTCATCATTGTTTAAATGCTTGTTATGTTTCATTAATTGCAACAAATGTTTACCAAAATAGTTGTTTACAATTAAACCCAACAAAATAAAAACTTTAAAACAAATAAATTAATTCGTAAATAATTTCATAATTATAAATCAAAAACTAAATCTAACGTACTTTACATACAAGAGTTGGAATAATTATTTACATAGAGGTATCGAAAGAATATTGTCTTTTGTAATAAAATCTACAGAATTGGCACAAAAACAGAAACTCATTCAATGAATATTTCAATGAATATTAATTGTAATAAAAACAAAAGAATTAATAAAATTAGGAAAAGATCTCAAATAAATTAATAATTATTAACAAAATATAAATACTAGAAAAATATGTTGCCATAAATTATTCACTATATGTTTGCAACAAATCCATTAATTACTCGATACTCCCGACCCGACGACGACTCGCATTGTTGTCAAAATAGGATTAGTTTTACACAAATATTGTCTAATTTTAATTTATTAAAGAATAAGAGCTAAGAATCCTAAGATTTAATTTTGTTTTAATTAATACAAACTCTTTATATTATTACAAAAGAGTTGCAAACATTTAGGAGAACTGATATGTGATTGAATTAATGCTAATCTATTTGAGTAAATATTCGCTAAATTATTATAATTATAATAATAATTAGATATTAGATATGAATAATATTTAAATCTTATAATAAACAAAAATTATCGGCAATTATTCAACATCTCATTGACCAATAAATTAGAGATTAAGTCAATATTTAATAATTAAATACTAATTAAATGTGAGTTTCATTTTTAGTGAAATCAATTCAAAACTCATTTATATATTTAAATGCAGTAATAATTTGTACCAAAAATATTGAAATGTCTAAAAATGTGTAAAAAATAACTCAACAAAATGTGGAGAATTTGCGCACAATTTTAAAACATTACTTAATGTCTCAATAAATATGAGAGTGGGAGGGGAGGCGGCGATGGGTTTCACATTTGCATAGTTTCTGTGATTTCTGTGATTTTAGGTATCATTTGAATATACAATCAATTTATAAAAGAAAACTATTTGTAAAAATATTTATTACGTTAAAAAACACGATTAAATGCCTTTTGTTTAATTCACTAAAATTGTATTATAAGAGCCTTAAGTCTATAGAGTCGAAGTCCGTTGAATGGGAAGAGAGAAAGCGAAATGCATGAAGAAAAAAGTGTGACAAACCTGAGGCCGAGTCTCGTCAAACTGGCTAATTGTCCTATGGTTTCGGGAATATCTACGAGTTCATTGTGCTGGACATCTAATGTCGTCAATTGTGTACAATTTCCGATTTCTTCGCACATTTAAAGCATAATTCAATTGATAAAAGAATACAAAACATACTGTATATGAATATGGGATGAATAATGGTATGGGAAGTGAGGTTACCGTTTGGCAGATGCTCTAAATGGTTGTTGGAAGCGTCGAGAGTGACCAGTTGTGTGAGTCTTCCCACACCGCCCGGCAATTCCTTAATTTTGTTTTCTCGGAGACTAAGCATTGTTAGATTCTGTACAGACGGACAGCATATCACATGACATTCATTAGTGATTTAAGGGCCAAACCATTCACGTATTGTATACGCCATACAAATGTATAGCAAATTGAAATATAATAACAATATGACTGACCGTTAAATGAGAGATGTTTTCGCCGACAATTTTGATACGATTGAAGCGGAGGTGAAGTGTTGTGAGAGAAGTGAGTTTATAGACCACATCAGGAATCTATGTAACAATAACTATATATTATAGCGTATCGATTGGTTAAGGCAATGGTAGGCATTGAGATATAGACCTCATTGAGTTTGTTGTGTCTGAGATCAAGCACTTTAAGCACTTTAAGATTGGCCAAAGAGTCGGGCAAACTGGTCAACGAGTTCTCGTTTACGGCTAACATTTGTAATTCCACTAAATTTCCGATCTCTCGCGGAAGAGTCACTAATTTGTTTTGATATAAATAAAACTCAACCAAATGTGTCAACTCTTTGACAGAAGCGGGAAGTGTTGTGAGACTACACTTCGTTAGGTCGAGTCGTGTCGAGCCCTCGTCTTTGCACCGCTGGAACTCCTTATCGACGTCCAGATCGGCCTGTAGTGAGTGTTTCTTGCGTGTGGCGGGTTTGGCCTTAGTTTGACCAGGGTGGTGAATCATCACCTGCTTCGGGCGCACCGACTGCTCACCACTACTCCCAACCAACTTCTTCTCCTATCATATCCAACAAAAACCCATTAAACTCTCGATACCGACAGACAATACCGTCAAAAATGTTATATAGATATCACTCAATACGCGATTCAAATGCACTCTTCAGACAAACCTTTGCTTTGAATGATTGAAAACAATTGTGAAATAAAGACTCCATATTTTACTAAAAACTGAAAGCCTATTCAAAAACTAATATTTTGTCTTATAATACAAAATTAAAATTAATATTTAGTTTTAATATTTAATTAAAGAAATGCGATATTTAAATGTGATAATTATATTCAAAATGCAAACACAACTATTGGCGTGAAGATCATTGTTTAGCTCAAAATCACACTAAAAAGCATGTTATTTGAGATTATCTATGAAATAGTGATCAGCGATTATAACAGGAATTAGTCATTAGTTTTTTAGTCATCTTTTCAAACTTATAGCACATATGAAAAGCATATTATAATTGCATTCAATTCCTACAGTAGTGCCAGTGATTAGGCTCTGAATCCCTCCAAAAAATACCGTTAAAATACTTGACTATTAATAAGAGTGCAATTGTTTTACAAATATCTCAAAAACATTGTTTCTTATGATATATCAGATAATAAATGAAGGGAAAAATTTGTACTCAAAAATTAGGGCAAAAACAATGAGAAATGAGTGCATTTTGGTTAATATTGTTAATATGGTTTGATAAAAAGCAACCATGATAGTTATTTATTGCATTATATCGTTGATTCTCATGATATCTGAACGTAAATCTAAACACAATGTTTAGGCGTTTAATGATATTGTGTTTTGAGAGACATTTTCTCACAATTTTCAAGACTAAAATATATCTCAATTTAAACGCTATGGATATGACATCAAAGTCGTTAATATAGGTATCATTGTATCAAATATCTCAGTCTTCATAACTAAATATTATTTTAATTGAATGTATTTTTTATAATTTAATTTAATTGCAAATTCTCGGTGAAAGCGATACCGAAATGATTGTTGTTTTTTGCATTTTATATAAATCTTGATTTCACTCTAATTGAGGCTTTATTTTCATTATATTTGTCACAAATATTGCGCTAATTTGTCGTAATTTAACACCAAATTATAGTAATTATAATAAAAAGTTCAAAACTAGTGTCTAATTGACAACATTTGGTCAATTTTTGGTCAAAATAACTCAAATGTAGGTTTTTTTCTCACGACTTAACTAATCATCAAATTGTATCATATTTTTATCATCTCATCACTCAATCGCTAACTTATTATTGCTTTTAAACAAATATATGTTTTTTAAATGCAAATTATTATTAATAATAATTATAAAGCCTTAACTATAACTAATTTTAATGCAAATCAATTTAAGGCCTATAACTAACACATAGACGATATTGAATGCATTTTACGATCAAAATTGAGATTTTCTCAGCAAATGGACATCAATTATACCTAAGATTTTGTGTTATTTTACTAACAATTTGTGAATTAGAGCTCAATATTGAGTTTAATTGTTATTAAAATGTATAAAATGTGAAATATTGTGCAATTAGTGTGAAATCGTGGTAAAAGCCTAAGCTTTACGACGAGTGCATAGGGTTTGAGTGAATGGGGTTTTGAACGAAAGATTGGCTCAAAACAAAGTTCGCCTCAAATTTGTGGTCAGATATGAAAATATGGTCGAAATGAAGACTATTTGGTGTAAAATATGATGAGTTTTGCATTCAATATATATATTATAGGCCTAAATGTGAGTGCATTTTGATTGAAAAGCATTATTACCTATGGTTTTGATTACATAGACATACAGTGTGTGAATGTATTGTGTTTTGTATGTAGTGTTGGGTGTAATGAAAATGTGGATCCGTTGGGTGACAATCACTTACTTTGGGCTCTTTGCTGGTGGAGGGCTGATCGAAGGGACTGTGAGGGCCTTCTTCGGGACCACTGCCAGCACCGGATCTCTCGGGCACTGCCATCACTTGAGGCCCGGCTTCTGACTCCGGAGACGACGGACTGATCGACGGACTTATGACCGCCTGTTGTCGGGCGGGACCTGTAGTGCCGCTGCTCTCAGTTGCCGGGGCTTCGGGTTGGGGGTCACTCACTATCATCGTTACAAACACACCACCGATCAGATCAAGAGAGCATATAATCAACAATTATTGTCAACAAAACTTGTATCGAGACGTGAGAGAGAGGGAGAGTGAGACCGACAGACAGACAGCACTGACTCTCAAACAAAAATATGGGTTTTGTTGTAATTATGAAAAAGTCACCAAAACTAACCATTTCTCGCACTAACCCATAGAGGGAACCATTCCTCACACCACTCCTCACACATTGCAAACACCAATATTATCACTACATTTCACCCACTATTTCACCATGCACATTTTCACTCTACCCCCTGTCCTAACCCATTACAATTGCATACAAGTTTTGTATGGACCCCAATATAGTGAACCAAATGGACATATAGTGAACATAACATACTTGACTAAAATGGCAAACCATATCCCATGTGATGCTTACTGTTATTGTCGTTATGTATGGCTTTACGATCGACACCACTGTTTGCCAGTTATTACTGAACACACAATCAGATAAAATGCATAGAGAAATAAGTGTTGAATATATTACATATAATTTTCATTTAAACTTTTTTGCCGACATTTATTACACAATGGTATGCAATGAGCATATGATTAGCACACAATTTGAATCAATACTAGATTTACTTAATTTTGATTTTTTTAAAAACACTAAAAACAAAAACTTAACTAAACATATAGTTATTATCAAACATTTGTTTCACATATTAATGCAACACAACTTGTGTTTAGTTGATTTGCGGCAAACGTACAGCAGTTATGCATCGGTTTAACAGTAATGATAAATGTATGCAATTTGTTGGACATATTTTTTCACTCAATTATAACTTTTGAGAGCCATTGAGACGATATTATGGCTTTTTATATATTTATACCAATTTTGGTCAGTGTAGGCCTTCGTAGTTAATGTTAACTTAAAGCTGAAAGCTTTAGATGTGCTGAAATTATTGGCATAAGTTTCTATGAGTTCATAATAGTTATCGGAGAAAATAGCGTTCAAATGAGAAAAAGTTATGTCTCAGAGATAGGGAGTCGTGTTATCGCCGATTGAAATGAAATACTTTATGTTCACAGCCTTTGCAACGGCTCTCAAGTGTTGATCAGATATGAATAGTGAATAAAAAGTGTCGAAATTGTATTGAAATAAACTTTTTATTTAGTTATAGATTTAGTTTAAACGAAGTTATAAAGTGTTGGGGGCTTACAGTTGGCGTTGGTATGTATGGGCGAGTGTCGCGCCCTCTCAGCCCAACTCTACTAAACACTTGCAGCCAATGCTATGTCTATGGAGTGAATGGAAAGTGAATTGCAATGCAAAAGCATTGGCCGAGAAATAGCCCGAAATGCAATTGCAATTGAAATGCACACAAATGCCAAACACCGCAAAACAGTCAATTGCACACAATTAAGCACTCGGTTGCGGCAAAAGTGGCCAAAAGTCACTTATTTTGCATTAATATTGCAATTAATTGGTGTCCAAAAACATAGCTATAGTTTGGTTGTTGTGCTGCAGACGACTTGACTGTGAAAACAGTCGACGATTACTACAGACAGGCATTCAATGCATTCAATGCGCATAACTTACTATCAAAAAGTGTAGTAAAATCCCAGATGTGATGTCATCGACGGGGGGAGACATTACACACAGCCTCGTCGGCCCCCTCAGCATCAAAAATAGGTCATCCGGGCTCTACTGAACTCATTTATGTGCCTCACAGTGGCGGACACACACCTCATCAGCGCCTACACCCGCCCCCACTCCCCACTAACCCCTATCATTGCAAACACCCCAAGCATTGCATTCAATTGCAATTCACTTTCGGCCAAACACTGGTCTCTCTTACGGTGTGTGTTGTGAGGACTACACCACTGTGTGCTCTACACCTCAATATAGGTCCCGGACATCTCTGACACCGTTCAAGGATGCTGTCGATCATGTCTGCTCTGCCCGTGTCCTACACTTTGCGGGAGAGAGAGAGAGAGAGAGAGAGAGAGAGAGAGAGNTCTGCCCGTGTCCTACACTTTGCGGGAGAGAGAGAGAGAGAGAGAGAGAGAGAGAGAGAGAGAGAGAGAGAGAGAGAGAGAGAGCACAGCATCCACTGACGCCCCCAACTAATGCATCCCTCATTTCCACAACTCTTTACTTTTCAATTATATATATCTCTCATTCAATTCTGCATTCATTACAACAAAGAATATATTTTTCAAAATCTATTGAAAACAAATTAGTGAATGAAAATCAATCAGAACTGCACTCATCGTTAATCTTCAATGTTTGCATTTTTCAAAGCCATTCAATGAGACAAATATACTCTTTATGCAGAATATTCTGCATATTCTGTACACATATTACATATGGTTTAATAAAAGAATGCAATGAATGCTAATAATAGCTTTCAAATTATACATTGCATTCACTTGTCGATGACTTTACCAGATATTATCAATACTTTATAATTTCGATATGAATTGCAATTAAAAAACATTTGCAAAGAAATGCTTGAATAGAGATAAGAGTAAATATTTTTAATATGAAAAACAGACTCTATGTATGAAATCATATCTAAAATATAAGTTATTTGTAAATTATAGACACAAAATGAGACAAATTTAGTTTACATTTTGCAAACTCTATTAGAAATAGAAATTAATTCCTCACAAAAGTTAATGCAAAAGTAAATAAGTATTTATCTGTTGTTTTGCCAATCATACGAAACTTATTGTCTTTTAATTTCTAATTTTGTAATTCATTTAATTATATATTGCATATAAAAAACTGCAATTATTGTCATCTGAACTGAAGACATAACAACACTTTAAAAGTTTTTTGTATGCAATGTTTTTATAAAGATCTCATACATTATTATTGTTAAATCAAGTTTTGGATTACATAATAATTATTTCTGCGAACGAATTATCGAGAATTCAATTGTTTTTTGTGCTGAAATAAGTAAAAAAATTTTTTCACGTGAAAACAAATAGCAATGCATTGGAGAGAGAGAGAGAGAGAGAGAGAGAGAGAGAGAGANAGAGAGAGAGAGAGAGAGAGAGAGAGAGAGAGAGAGAGAGAGAGAGAGAGAGAGAGATGCGATCAAAATGTGTTACAAATGCTATCAATTGGTTATATAATGTGCAAAATAATGCAAACAAATGAATTCGTAAAAATAAAATTACGAGAACTGATGAGAAGGAAAAAACTAAATACTAAAAAGCATTTATAAGAAAATAAATAAATAAAAATTGAAAATAAATGATGAAAGTATTGAGTGGTTTGATAGGGAATGTGTGGTAGTGTTTGGCTAAACATAGTGTTTAAGCCCCGAGAAAACCCCTTTTGCTTTGGCCTACATTTATGCGATGCCCTGGAAATTGAGGCATAAGTTGTGTATCGCTGAGCGCTCTATCGATCGGATTCCGGGCTCTCGTTTTTGTCTCACTTGTATATATACTATGCCTTATATATACTGGTTGTGCGCTTTGGACACACATTTCAATACCTGATTCTGTGATTCAGTTGTAAATATGCGAAACTGATTGAGTAAAATGTGTGAATGTATATCAACAAAAACATCACAACACCACTCACTCTATAAGCCAACTCTTTGTGGTGTTTACTAATACCCCTCACCTCCGCCTCCCATCCATGCATTCAAACACATTTCATAATCATTTCATTTATTTGTCGTTTTGATCATAAATTCTTTGCAACACTTTTTTGTTTTGCAAAACCATTTCAATTGTCAACAGTTGTCCACAAATTCCAACACAGAATGCATATACGGCTCACAATTGCAATATATTCTGTATATTACTTACATTCCCATTGAAAGCCATTTCTAAAAAAGCATATTTTTAGTCATTCTTTTAATTATTCTGCAGTTTTGTTGACATAACACTAGAATATAATTCAAAGTAAACCCACTTTAAAATCGGTACATATTTTCGACTCAATTCTTTCATTTGCAATATTCATATTTTTGATACCAATTATATAATGCAATCATTTAATGCAATTTTAAATCACAATTTAAAAATGCAGTACATTATATGCAATAATAAATAGCAAAATAATTGATTGCAATAAAATAGTAATATTTTAATGGTTGTTTGAGAAAATAATAAATTGAATTAAATTATGCATTTTTTGAATTAACAAATCATTTAATTAGTTATTAATCCTGTGATCGATTGGAGGCACAAATGCCACTGCAATAAAGCAATACATACATCAGTTTCATAGTTAGTAAACATTTTCAAACAATTTAAGTGTTTTTATTATAATTTAGTGTCTTTTTAGAAAAAAGGAAAGAATTTTTTTAATAACAATTAAAAATAACAATTTTTCAGCCAAATGTTATACATCTGTCAATATGTCAGTTATTTTATGATTTAATATTGTTTGTCAGAAAATTTGTTTTAATTAAACTCATAAATTTTGTAATTTTTATATAATTTAAATCAAAATAAAATTAAAAGTTAAGGGATAAATAACAATAATTAAATAAGTTATTAATTGTTTATAAATAATAATAAATTTTACACATATTTATAATTAACTTTTCAAACACCAATTCAATAGTCTATTATCATTGCATTAGTCTTCTTACAAATGAAAATAATTATAAATTCAATAAAATACTAGATTTAAGCGCAAATTATAATTAATTTTCCTATAGTTTTGTAAATTTATATGAATTTGAAAACACGGAAAAATAGATCCAATTTTGAGAGAGAATAGAGATGTGAGTGAAAAACAATACCGTATTTTATCACTTTATACCCCGTGGGGTGTTATGTGAGGGGTCCTTCACTCGCATTTCGGAAACTTTCACATTTGACTTGTTTTTGAGTCAAAATAATATGGGATGTTACCCAGGGTAGTACCCCACCCTCTCTAACATAACTCACATAACACTCTATGGGATATAAAGTGACAGAATATGGTAATATTGTTTCTTTAGTGCTATATTTAACTAATGAATTGAAATAAAATTAAAATGATATCAATTATAATAATATTAATTATAATAATATATTTATATAATATTTATAATTATATATATAAAAGAATTTATAATATATTCCTAATCATAATATAATAGATTTATAACAGATTTTCAACGTTTTGTGTGAACCACTCATTGTTTTCCACTTTTGTCGAGAAAAGCAACGAGTTTTCAATAATAATATGCCATTCATTTAGTCTTACAGAGAATTTTTAGTTTCATTACAATTTTTTTTCATAACATTTGTTTCTATTTCTTTCATTTCAGTTAACATTTGCAACAAATCCAAAACGTTTTCATACAATAATTTTACTCTCTTTCCAAAGAACTGTTTCATTTGTTTTGTTTATAATTTGAAAATAAAATAATTTGTATCATTGAATTTAAAATTATCACTAAATGTGTTGTTTAGAGCCTTTCCCAAGACTGGACACGAGGCGCACCGGTAATTGTGTGGGCATTACAACTATGTTATTATAATTATAATGAAATATAAAGCTATAAATAATATGAATTGATAAATGAATTATTGTTTCGGAAAATAAAGGGAAAACAACTTATAGTAATGGATAGTAAACACCGGGAATATTGGATATTAAACAATAATAAAGCGATTAATTGCTAATTTAAATAACATTCAAAAAACACTCAAATTATTACAATATTCTGCAAAACTCATTCGTTTTGTCAACATTTTTCAGTTAAATTCAATGGCAGTGTATTAGAGGGTTGTTATCAAACGAAAACTTTTGCTCAATATATTTAGTATCCCTTTTCGTACAATTAAGTGCAACCGAAATGTGATACAAACTATTCATATATCATATAACTTCTAAATTTATATGTTTTTGTTTTTTGTATTATATTTTTAGTGTCTTTTTTATGTCTTGTAATTGTATTATAATTTACACTATTTTACAATAATGTGGTAATAATAGTGAAACAGAAATATAATTAACAATTAGTTGGCATTGTTTTGTATTTTTGTTTTGTATTAATTTTTATCAAAAGCTCACAATAATTAAAAATTTTTAATATATAATTATTGTTAATAATTAAATATATATACTGTATATGTATTATATGTCATTGTCATTAGAGATTACATTTGATTCACATTACATAACAACTAAATCTTAAATCTTTACAAATTGTACTCATTTTTGTGTTTGAAATATATTTCTATATCGATTCGATCCATACAATCGAAACCAAAGACCATTATCTCATAATCATAAACATCTCAATGCTTTCGCAAACTGCAAACAATTGTCTTAAATCTGACCCTCAATATTGGAAATTCGCTTCAAATGTGTTGAAAAACTTTATATTGAAAACTCGATTCTAATCATAAAGTTCTGCTTTAGTGGCAATTTTGCAAAATATATTCATTAATCAACAACTCTTTGGATGAGAGTTGGTCTGCCATTCAGTGCACTACTTCTCTCTCATTACGCTTTAGACCCCAAGAAACGATGGCTTTAGAGGTAAGTGAGCCTTAAAACTGACACTTTTGGAAGGTTTGGTTACTCTTATAATTTATATTACAATTTATTTGTGATGTCAAGTGAATTGACAATTGTCTGTAATTTAGATCTAATAGCACTATAATTAACTGCAAATCAAGAGTTTCAATAAATAATAAGATTAATGTTATTGTTATGAATATTATGGTCTGTTATGAAACCAACAACAGGTGTTTGTGTGGCGACAAGATTTGCTTCGTTTTCTATTTATATTATTGTTTTGAATGTGTTTCAAATGTGTTGAGACAGGTGTAGAGACTTGTTAACAATTTAATAACTAAATTAAGTAAAACCTGTTTCTTATCAAATATATTAATAGATATAATAATCAAGAAATTTGTTTTCTTCTCTTTTATAACGAAAGTCTACACAAATTACAAGTCATTTTATACATACTTTTTGTAGTTTTATGTATTAATAATAATAATAACCGGTATTTTTCTTATCATTCATAATAACTGTACAAATAATTAACGATTAAATGGAAAAATAAACATCAGAACAGCGATTAGGCATTGATTAACATTATATAATCCCTGAATTTAAAGCATACCCTTTATAATGGAAACAAATTCTTATATTATTAAAATTATTCAAAACAATGTCTACATTCAAACCGGACATTAAAATTAATTTAAAATATTTTCATCAAATAAAACATCGATTCGTTACTCAAGACAGACATAAAAAGCACGAATAAAACCAATTAATTAATTAATAATTAATAAAACTAACAAAACATTCTAATCATAATACAATTGAAACCGGGATTACATTCAATTTAATATCTATAGTCTATTTATAGTATTTTTTCTCTCATAAGTTAGCGAACAAAATAATATGTGATTTAATATGTGTTTAATTTGTTGTTATGTTTTTCGAGTCGCTGTACAAACACTTTAACTGGTCTTCAGATGTGGTGTTTCTTATAATTACTAATAGTTTTTGTAATGAAGTCTTTTGTCAATCGTTTTTCAATAGTAGTAACAGAAATAATTTGCACAAAAGCTATTCATAAACTCTACTTCATTTGGATGTAATATTAGCCACACCTCCGCCGCCACCACCGGCTCCAGTGTTGGACTGCGCGGCACCGGTAGTGTCGCCACCACTTTGAGAACCACTATTCGTCGCACCCGAAGGCTTGTCAATCACTTCAGACATTTTGTCGACGTAATCGGAGAACACATCTCTAAACTTAGACCAAGACTTCTCTGGAATGGTTATCGACGACCGAAAGTTACTCTTAACCTAAATGTCACAAAACAAACGGATAATAGGAGTGAATCATTGTGTTTGGCATATGATTGGTGGCAATACCTCAGAGATACGCATATATATGCCTAAGTTGTTCTGTCCGATGTCGAAAAAGAACTTCTTGTTCTCCACTCGCATGTGTCTGCCTTCGGGTAACTCTCCTTTAAAGCCTATTTTTGGTTACGAAGTGAGAAAAGAGTTTAGTATTTATTGGCCTTTTGTTAAAGAGATAAACGGTTTTTCGCAAACAAAAGAATTGTTGTGAGAACGCTATGAAATGAAACAAAACAATTGTCTACTTGAACCGGTAGTTTCGTCCCGACCTCCATCATCGGTTCCAAATTCTTCTAATAAGTCCGTCAACGCATCCCTGAACTCAATCATCCCCTGCGCCGGAATCGCGATCTGCGCGCGCGGACCTCCTCTTGAGATGGTTTGCGAGACCTGTCAGTACAACACAGAGAAACGTGAGTTTCATAACAATACAAAGTGTTGGAAATGGGTTTGTAATCAACTGACGCGAAGAAATCTTCCCCTATTGTTCTCTTTGAGGTCGAGATAATATCTTCGGTTATCTTTGACCATAACTTCGGATTTGAGTTTCCCATCTTCTGGAAGGTTGTCCGGATTGGGCGGACCTATGGTTTTGATGCCATAATTCAATTATTTTATCGATTCAACGAATAACATAAGTTATTGTAAAAAATACCCTTTTCTTCTATTGATTACAAATAAACAGAAAATATAAGTAAAACCTAAAAATGCTGTCAAATAATTGGTTGACTGTAAAAGACATTTACCCAAAGAGGCGTAGAGTTCGCTGAATGCGGTTAAATGGTCTCTAAATTCTGCGGCCGTAGACATCGCTAATAATAATCGACTCTTTCTTCCGGCGGCGCCGACCTATTCATCAATAAAAAAACAAACAAATGATAATTAATATAATAAATAATGCAATTATTAATAGCAATGGTATGAGTGATGGCAAACCTCAGCCACTTTAATGAAACGACCCCTTCTGTTCTGTTTGACGTCCAAATAAAACCTCTTGTGTTGGATTTGAAGCATTTTTGTGGCCAATTCCTGCTCCACGGGTTGACCACCCATTTGGCCGCCTCCTGTCGAGGAAACTATAATTTGTTTTAATGTTAACTTTAAGTTAATCTCAATATTTGACAATACATTTATTATAACATCATTTACAGTCAAAACTAAATCTTGAGTTCTTTTAAGTTTTAGTAAAATTTCAATATTTAATAAATGCCTCGTATTGTCCGTATATTTCAATATCATTTTACACACAAACCCACTTATAGTGAATACTATTTACATAAATCAATTTCATTGCAAACAGTTTCTATTGAAAAATGTATAATTCTATTAATAAATACAACTATTTCTCGTTAAATAACACCGGTAATATGGATATTTATAACCATTAAAAATGTCAATCTCTCATAATGTATATTATATTGCAATAAATAAAACAATATAATAACTCAATTTGTGTATTAATTGACAATAATTTATTTATTTATAAACGAATTTGTGTGTAAAATCAAAATATTTATCAAACAATAAATTGAAAATTTTACATTTGACTTAAAATATATGTTCTGTCTGTTAAAAAATCTATTAATTTCCAAAATGTCATCAAATTGTCATTAAAACGAGTGTTTGTCATAAAGAAGTTATTTTACAAATTAATGCAAACAACAAAATCAAGAAGAGTTTGAATTTGATTTAAATAAAATTTATTGTTACAAAAAAGTATTGTCTAAACAATTAACGAATTCACAATCGCAATAGTAAAGTATTTTTGCCAAACAATTATATAACCATATGTTTGACAATTAAGTGAATAGTAGTGTTGAGGTTGAGGTCATTTCAATTCAATTCAATGAATTATTTCAATACATTAACGACAAAATGATAACACAATGAGTTTAATGCCAATAATGAAAATCAAACTCCAGTTCCAGAACCAGTTTTTTCACCAAATTTTAAACCATTTTTATGTAATAATTGGGAAATATTTTTCAATAAAGAAACAAAATTATAGTAAATTATATTAAATGTTTAAAATTGAAAATATGTTTGAATTATAAACCAATTTATAATCTAACTGTAATTTATAAAATATTTTTATAAATTATTTGTAGACAAAAGATTTGGTAAATAAAACAAAAAGCATTAAAATTGCGAAATAATTAGACAATTATTTGCGTAAAGAATATAATTACGTTTTTTAAAGCATAAAATAAGGTTAAAATATATATCAATAAATCAATGAAATAACAATTTCTTCCATAAAATTAACGTATTGTTCATTAGATTTCACGAAAAATTTATATTAATTCCAAAATTTCATACATTTATAATAAAAGCCAAAAATGCTATTTATATTGTTAAGAGTTAGATATAAAATAATATATTAAAAAATCATTTTTAAAAATTACATAATTTTTATTTCAATATTCAATATAAATCTATTAAACTAAACATGATTAAAATACTATAGATATAACGAAATAGATATTCAATGTAATGGTATTCTCATAAAAGATATTGTAAATTAAATTTTATTTTTAAATAAATGGTTAAAAATAAAATGTGAGAAATAAATAAACAAAAATAATAATTTACAAAAAATAAAATAAACATAAAAACGTGAAAAATAGAAATTCAATACAAAGTATTTTTCTTGTTTTTTATATTGACTTTGAAAAGAATTCAAGACTAATGAGGAA